ACAAACAAACAATCAATCAAACAAAAAATCAAATCTTTCACCTTTATAATATTATTATAGTTGAATAAATACTTTCCCCAGCGAGCACAAACATCCCTGGGATGTTTTGGGATGTTTTGAAAATGTTGGCATGAAGATGTTATTTTGAGACGTAATATGCACTAACCGAAGAGGTTTTTGAAGGATATTGAAGTTTTGTTTTTGTTCTTCTGTGGCATTTCTTTGTTTGCCTACTGAGAGGTATCCCTGGGATTTTTTGGGATGTTTTAGAAATGTAGACATGAGGATGTTTTTTTGAGGCGTAATATGCACTTCCCAAAGAGGTCTCAGAAGGATATTGAAAGTATTGTTTTTGTTCTTTTGTGCCCTTTCTTTGTTTGCCCCACCACAACGTCTCATGCTTACGTCACAATACGATGAATTCTGATTTGTTTTCGATTTTGTTCTTCTTGTTCGCAATTGGCATTCGCGTTTGTAGCGTGTCACGCTTACATCATGCTGCTAACGAACAGAATGGAATTTGGTGAAGTTTATTGTGTTAGAAGACTTATTTAGTTTATAATAATGACCATCAGATGCAAGATGTGTTGTTCGGTGCCTCAGTGTAATCAATATATAAAAGTACGAATATATCAATACACATCAGCTTCTCCGCAGTTGCAAAATTATGCATTGTGGAGAACATTTCAAAAATTGGGAAACCTATTTCCAATTATATGTCTGTGTGTAGTAAGCACTAGAGTCCCTGTATATACCTTAGATAAGAGTCCAGACACAGCTATACTTCTGTCCTTTTCTGTTTTCAAAAAATGGATTGATGATTGAATAAAGGAATAAGACATATATATCGAGCTCTGTCTTTTCAATTCCCCTAGTATCAATGATTGTCAGAAACAATTTTGAGGGTTAGATTATTTGAAACCGTTCATAGCCGTAGGTAGAAGTGGGAAATAGGGCTATTTTAACTATAATAACTATTAAATAATAATAATAACTTGAATCCCTTTTCTAATGAATTGTCGCAATAATGTACGCAGCAGGAAATTGAAATAATTTGAAATGCTAAATTTTGGCGGTCATAGAATTTCAAAGTGACAGTGACAGAAATTCGAAATAATTAAAAAAAGCGGACGGGACGACTATGGTGTTTCGTCACATTGTCAGGTGGACAAACCAAATGACACAAAATATTGAAAACCCCAACAGCTGTCAGTTTTGTGTCCGGACTCTTGTCTAAGGTATATACAGGGACTCTAGTAAGCACTACTCAGAAACCGATCAAGAAGGTAATTTCATATCAAGAAAATATTTTTATGTTCAATCTATTTTCAATGCATTTTTTCATTCAAGGAAAATGGAATCCTGATGCAAAAGTTCATTTTGACAAAAGGCTTCAGAAAAGTATCTCGAAAATGTTTTTTTTTACAGCGATTTAATGTGCGCAAGACGCGTTGAAAATGTTTTGTTGTGTCCATGAGAAGGCTTTAAAAAGAACTAGGGAGAAGGTAGTTTTGTGACATATCAAGGACATCTCGATAATTGCCGCATGCGGCGGACATTGGCTGTTCTATAATAGTTCTATTCATGTGTGAACAGAACATCGCAGTGGAGGTTCAATGTCTCGAAATCTCGTACTTTTAACATCTCTGAGATGTTTTTGTTCTCGCTGGGTCCGAGTTCCTTGTTAGTCAACATTTGACGAGACGTATGAAAAACAGATGCAAAGGAAACAGCAAATAAATATGTATTATTTGATGGATCAATGTTTTATTTGTTCAGATCGAATATTTTCTGTTTTCGCTTGTTTTGCAATTTTAGTATTAAACACTCATCGTTGAAATCACAAAACGCTGCTACATAGTGGTGATAAGCAGATAATTGTTGCATGAACTTAATAATTTTATACGGATTTTGTAAATGTTTCACGGATGTTATCAACATTTATAGAACTTCATGAATGGTGACCCGCATTTGCTGAAAACCGACTTCAAGTTGGGTAAGTTTTGAAGATTGATACTTATAAGTCATTTTATATAGGCATAATGTGTCTCCAAAATGTCAAGTTTTTATCTACGCCTGTTCCAGAGATATTTATCATAATTACTATGGTGTTGTTTTTGGGATTTAGGTCTTACATTAAAAGAAAACTATGTTTCTTGAAAGCCAACGTTTCGTCAATTTATGTTTTGACATCTTCTGGGCACTGTAAGATGAAGGGGTCGTTACAAATTCATAAATTGACATATGGAAAATACATATATAAAAAACAATTCTTCTCAATTTATGGTTGTTATTACTTTTTTCCGAAACAACTACTGAACATGGTGATGAACCATAACAGGTTTCTATTCAGACAGATGTACATACATATGGAAATGAGCTTAAAACAACAAACACAACACTGAAACACGTTAAAAATTTGAATAAAGTAATGCTCATCTGTTGAATACTCAAAGTGGAACTGATCGAATGTCAGGAGTGTACAATTGAGAAGAAAGAGAAATGAGAAACAATAAACAGGAACGAAAGCATCTTTTTTTTTTAATTCTTTTTTTCAGATTGAAATACGCGTTGTTCAAGTTTTCTATGTGTTCTTCTGTGGTTGTCTGTATCATATTTCATTATGTTAACCATTTCAGAAAAATTTCTTTTGAACAGAAAAGACTCATAGTTGTTTCGGAAAAAAGTAATAATAACAACCACAACAAGAGGAGACATTGTTTTGTATATATATGTATTTTCCATATTGCTATCTATAAATTTCTAACGACCCTTTCATCTTACAGTGCCCTGAAGATGTCGAAATGAATTGACGAAACGTTGGCTTTCAATAAATATATTTTTCTTTGATGAGACCCAAATCCCAAAAACCACGATCATTGCCTCAGTTTCGGATCGGCAATGAAAAATCTGATATATTTTGTTATTTCATTCATAGGTATGTTTTATTCATTGCATTTAAATATTATCATGAAAGTCATCAACTTTAGCCATAAAAAATAGGCAAGTCGTCTGACTCATAAAATAGGTATGACGGAAATTCGGTAGTCAATCAAAGACTCTGATGTTTTTCCTTGTTCATCGTTTTTATATACTATATGTTATGATGATGATAATTATTAATGAAATATTCCTATTCGAAAGTTAACCGCAAATTGATTCCGTACACACATAACTTCAAGGAAGGTGTAGTAGCTTAGTTGTAATAAGTTCGATTTGTAACCGGAGGACCAGGGTTCGAATCCCGTGGCGGTCGATTTTTTTTTATTTGAATGGTTCGGCAGACATGTACTGGCCCTGATGACGGCCGGAGTCTTCTATTTGTACTGATACATCAATGTTTACATGAATTTTGCAGATGTGATCACTTCTGGCCAGCATAAGGCCGACCAAAATTGTTTGCTGGGGCTTCAAACGAGGTTTTCTTTCAGAACGATAATGATTGTTTGTACAAAATGACTATTACACTCTTGAAATGATCAGAATCGTCGATTTTCACGGTTTCTCCTGTATCACAAACATATTTTTTGTTTACTGAACAACCAATACAGAAGCCGAATTGACCCACACGGGACCAACCAACCTCGTTTTTCAGCGATAACATTTTAGACGTACGTCAATTATGTTGGAAGCCAGAATGATAGATGAAGTGTGCGCAACTCTCGCGAGGCGCTCGTTTATTGTCTCAATCATGAAATCAAGTCATACGACTACAACTCGCGATACTATTTTTCCTGGAAATATTCGACGATTGACATACTCCAGCTTGCTGCTTCAACTTAACGAATGACATTGTTCTAAAACTTCTCGCTTACGGCTCGAAAGTTGTATTAAACAATGTCATCCGCGAAATATTTATGGAACAAGCTGTCATAACAATCGCCGAATATTTTCGCCAAAATAGTATCACTGGTGTTATAACATATGAATAAATGAGATGATAATTAAACTAGCGCAAAATTATCGCATAACTGAAATACATTGTACTATAAATGTCCCGACTTCTAGCTCACTTATTTTTGAACCGAATCCAAAATTTGAAAAATTATCTCTACATCAGAAAATACAGGTGGGATACCTTGAATTTCATTGAATTTTTAGAATCTCCTTGATGAGCTCAGAGCTGATTTCATCAATATATCATATGTGGGGTCCAGCAGGAATGATTACAGAGATATAGTGTTCAAAATCGAAATTTTTCAACTTTAGAATTCGTCTGTGTCTCAACTATTCATTATTGGTCAAAACGACTCACGTGTCCCTACCTCAAGTTTTGATTTACTGACATTTAATTGAAACAATACAGAGTGGGCCATGATTCAGAATTCTGATCATCCTGTATCAGTTCAAATTATTAAATGTGAGTAGATAGTGAATCAAAACTAAAGATAGGGACGTTTTGACCAATAATGAATAAATAAATACAAAAAGCTCAAAGTCATATCCACACAATGTTCATAAAATGAACAACAATGGTAGATTTTGGGAGGAAAACAACTACTTTCCTGGCTAATACCACGCAGACAATTGAATTACATCCTTCCGAAGTCTATGCATCGACTCTTATAAACGAATACTGATACAAATGAATCTTTCCTGAATGCCTATTGATTTCGATTTAGCCAGGTCACGCTAGATACCTACAGACCGGTTTCGAGCTTTTTGACTCTCATCAGTGCAAGGGAGTCTCCAGTCAGCAGTCCTAAGACCACCGACTGAGCGTTGCCTAGCCAAACAAAAATCAAGTCGGCATTATATTCCCCCAGAGGCTTCCTTCATAAACAATATGAAAGCAACATCGAAAATCATGTCAAATGATTCTTGCAATGTTTGGATCGGTTCATAAATAGCTGAGCTAGAGGGGGAAAGGACATTTATGGTGAATCACCCTGTAAAAAAAATTGATGATAACCTTACCTTTGGCCCAGCCGGTGACGACGTTTCCGAGATACGCCACCCTGTACGAAGGATCCGGCTTCGAAATGGTGGCGCTCGCGTACCTCTTCAACCTCAACCTATTCAAAATGATCTTGAACATTCTCCTGCCCCTTTCCCGCTGCATCTCCTTGCCGGGCATCTCGCTGTTCAACGTCTCTATCGAAGGCACCTTCTTGACGTTGACGCTCTCGTTGTAGTTGTTGTAGTAGTTGTTGTTGGTCTCCGATACGTCCGTCTGTTGGTCCGCCATTTTGTTCGACTCGCCACGCGTCAACATGGCGGCCCGCGGCGGGAAACTTACCCACTTCCGGTCGGACGGTTGACGGTCTCTTTTGTTTTGTTTGGGTGGCGCGATGAGGTGGGTAGCGTGTGACGTCACATCGCGTTGATTGGAGTTCGCGACCGTTTTCTCTCAGTTGGGGATTATCTGGAAATGAGAAGAATCGTGAGGGATGAAATCCGTCCAAACCTGTTTCAATCAATGAATCATGATTTACAGTCAATGTAGTCCAAACATTTGGTAGTTTGGACAGGAAAACATTGCTAAAGAATTTTTCTCGACAGACCCATAATATGTTTTTTGGGATGCTGAATCTGAATATTCAGTTATCGACTAGATTCGGATAAGACTTCACCGCATGAAAATGGCAGAAAATTATGAAAAATCGGGAGTTGTTTTAGTTTTTCGCTCATAAATCCGAAACGACTTGATATAGAGAAAAATTAGCGAAGATGAAAATGAAAGCAAATGAATTTTACGAAAAAATAGGATGAAAATCAACTCGCTAACTTATCTGGTTCAGCTGCACGACCGTGCTGAAGATTGACCATAGTTTTCAAGTTATTCAAAATACTCGTATTTCAGACTTTCAAGACCTACGTAATCTGCACCCTTCGTTGATTGGGTCTGAAGTCAAAAAACCGCAAACAAACTGTTCATAACTCGCTTCGTTTTTGAGAATTTACTATTTACTAATATTTAATCGAAACAGATACAGGGTGATCATCCTGTAGCAATATTGATTAAATATCAGTAAATAGTAATCTTTTTCGATAGATCCCAGGTGTGATACATCGATTGCTCTTCAGGGAGAATCTAAAAATGCGATAAAATACAGGGTGTTCCATTTGAAATGATATCATTGTTGCCACTACTTTCTAGTAGAAGCGGCATCACTGCATTGTCAAAAATATTTCAAATGAAGAGAGCGTATTCTAAATATGAGCATGCTCTGCTGCGCTCGTGTTTAAAACACTCGTTACTAAACTGACGTTACATAATATGGGTGGCGGAAATTTGATCGAAAGACAAATGATAGAAAAACATTTGATAGAAGTATTTTGATCGAAAATCAAAGAATAGAAAGAACTTTTCACCGAACATACATTTGATCGAATGTTTTATGATAGAAAATACATTTGATAGAAACATAAATGATAAAAAAAATATTTGATAGAAAATACACTTGATAGAAACAGCATTTGATAGAAAATTCAACGGGGCTACGCTCAAGTTAGGTCAGTTCGTTTGTGAAGATATGATCCTTCCTCATATATTTGAGAAGAAGGAGCTAGAAGTTTGTGGTATCAATAAATTCATAAGCTTCGATTTCCATCTAGCTCCTTTGTCTCAAATATATGAAGAAGGATCATATCTTCACAAACGTGACCTAACTTGAGCGTAGCGCCGTTGAGAAATAGAGAAATTATAGTTTTATGTGGGTTCCATTGAGTCTCATTTGAATGCCAAAATATAATTGATAATGTTCAGACTTCGACACAAATCAATTTAAAAAAATAATCAATAGTAGCAATTAAATTCTTTTGTTTGCCTCGCATATTCAGTCAATAAATAATAGGTATAATATTTTGATGACACCTCAAACTATTATTTCTTATATCAATCATGCACGAGGGATATCATATTACTCAATTCAGTATTTTTTTTTTGTAGTGGGTATCGATTGCATCCAAGCCTGTCAATTACATAAAATTAGTGTCATCAAAAACGTATTATCTTGATTATGCATTGCTATAAATTATTTTGATTCGATAATATTTTTCATGTGGAGAAATTTATCGAGGCCAGTTTAATTATACGACAGACCAATTGGGAACAGTTAAATATTATTCTTGGACCAATGGGAATGGGAATTTTGATGATGGTAGCCATGAGGTGCACCTATACAGGGTGATTCATTGGGTAATGCGCATACAGTATATAAGGGTTAAATCTAAATAATCTATATTTCGTTGGTCTATCATTCTTTATAAATGTGATTTTCCAGGGCCCAGAAACAACACCCTGTATATCAATATTTTAGAATCTCATTCACAAATTTGGAAAGAGCATAATTACAATATCCACTGACCAATATTTCTTGAAATGAGAATTGTATCCAGTAGTTATTGGTATAATATCGTATTCATATATTATTTTTCGAATCCTAAATTATGGTATATAATTTCATTATGCCAAACAACTTTTTTCTTCTAGATTAGGTGGTATCCTGTACCGTATCGTTTGGAAAACTCGTTGTGATTGCTTCAGGCTCATATTTTATTGAGGATATAACAATTTCAAGACATATACAACGCAAATAATATACCACCAGCAACTTAATGGAATATTTATGACATAAGATATGCCAATGAATTTTATGTGAATTTAAGATACAATAATTATCTTGATCTTGGATTTTATTGATCCTCGTGTGAATGTTTTATTATTATGGCCAATTCACAGTTCTTACGTCTTGCCTATAATAAAATAATATGGTGGACATTAAAAAAATGGATAAAATCAAAGTAACGCCACAGAACTTACTTCTTATTTGCTTTAAGTATACTTGTACTGTGATGATGATTATAAATATGATGGTAATATCTACTTTGATTTTTGAAAGAAATCACCACTTGAATTTTTTCGGTGTTATTTAGATACACCCTGTATCCAAAGGATATCATAATGACATACGTCCTGTCCTACAATGAAATGATAACACTAAGCAAGCTGGAAAAAGACTACTATAATGATGTCCGGCACAAAAATATGTTTTCATAATAACTAAAAAAAAAATAGTTCCTCATTAATGAGATAGAAAACATTCACCTTGAACTATTGTTAGTAAATTTCTCAGAACACTGGCGGAGAAAAAGATAGAACTGTTCATTTTGTCGAAATTTAAAAATTTATAAAATCAATATATTCACCTACTACAAAATGGCGGAACATTTGATAGTTGCCCGAATACAAACACATTAAAATGGATGTTGTATTCCAACAAGATGGAGCACCACCACATTACTTCAGAGAAGTTAGAAATTGGTGAATAATGCTTTCCCCGGTCGTTGGATTGGCTATCGACGTCCTACGGAATGGCCAGCTCGCTCGCCAGATTTGACAACGTTAGACTTTTTTTGTGTGGCTTTCTGAAGCAAAAGGTGTACGAAACCGAACGTGCTTCAATAATCAGAGAATGATAAATATTTGTGGAAATATCGACGTACACAGTTCACACCAGCTAAACCCTTGGATGTCCCCTGAGGACCTGATTATTTTAGTGAGAATTAACACTGATATTTTCAACACCGTCATAGCCCAGCGAGCACAAACATCCCTGGGATGTTTTGGGATGTTTTGAAAATGTTGGCATGAAGATGATATTTTGAGACGTAACATGCACTGACCAAAGAGGTCTTTGAAGGATATTGAAGTATTGTTTTTGTTCTTCTGTGGCATTTCGTAGTTTGCCTACTGAGAGGTATCCCTGGGATGTTTTGGGATGTTTTAGAAATGTAGGTATGAGGATGTTTTTTTGAGGCGTAACATGCACTTCCCAAAGAGGTCTTAGAAGGATATTGAAAGTATTGTTTTTGGTCTTTTGTGCCCTTTCTTTGTTTGCCTCACCACAACGTCTCATGCTTACGTCACAATACGATGAGTTCTGATTTGTTTTCGACTTTGTTCTTCTTGTTCGCAATTGGCATTCGCGTTTTCAGCGTGTCACGCTTACATCACGCTGCTAACGAACAGAAAGGAATTTGGTGAAGTTTATTGTGTTAGAAGACTTATTTAGTTTGTAATAATGACCATCAGATGCAAGATGTGTTGTTCGGTGCCTCAGTGTAATCAATATATAAAAGTACAAATTTATCAATACACAGCTTCTCCGCAGTTGCAAAATTATGCATTGTGGAGAACATTTCAAAAATTGGGAAACCTATTTCCAATTATATGTCTGTGTGTAGTAAGCCCTACTCAGAAACCGATTAAGAAGGTAATTTCACATCAAGAAAATATTTTTATGTTCAATCTATTTTTAATGCATTTTTTCATTCAAGGGAAATTGAGTCCTAATTCAAAAGTTCATTTTGACAGAAGGCTTCAGAAAAGTACCTCGAAAATGTTTTTTTTACAGCGATTTAATGTGCGCAAGACGCGTTGAAAATGTTTTGTTGTGTCCATGAAAAGGCTTTAAAAAGAACTAGGGAGAAGGTAGTTTTGTGACATATCAAGGACATCTCGATAAATGCCGCCTGCGGCGGACATTGGCTGTTCTATAATAGTTCTATTCATGTGTGAACAGAACATCGCAGTGGAGGTTCAATGTCTCGAAATCTCGTACTTTTAACATCTCTGAGATGTTTTTGTGCTCGCTGGGAGGGTGTCATTCGATCTTACATACAGTAGAGAACTACACTAGAGTACCTAGTGCTGATTTGATCGGTTCGTGTTATTCAACACCAAAGTGCATGGTGTACAATCACTTGGTGATTATTTTGACATTGTATCTGTTGCGTTTTTGCTTTTACTGGTAATATCATGATATGCGAATATTTTTCGGATATTTTTCTGTTGTGAAAGCTCATCGAGCTCACGAAATACCTGGAACATTCAGGTATTATCAACGATAGGCAATATGGCTTCCGTCATCAGAGATCAACTGGTGACCTGCTCGCTTACGTCTCACATATATGGCAGCAATCTATTTGAAAATATGGTGGAACCATAGCCGTAGCACTTGACATCTCCAAGGCATTCGATCGAGTCTGGCACCACGAACTCCTCGCCAAACTTCCATATTATGGCTTGCCTCCCCAGCTATGTTCTCTGCTAGCTAGTTTTCTCTCAAACAGGTCTCTACATGTAGTGGTCGACGGACTCTCTAATCATGAATGCCGGTATTATCCGCAAGGATCAATTCTAGCACAAACACTATTTCTACTTTATATCAACGATTTGTTGGA